ATGCAGAACGTAGAATGCAAATGTTCGGGATACGCATGCAATCAACAACTGGCCGTAAACAAAATTATGAGTACCTGAACTCTGTCTTGTTAACGGGCGTGCGATTATATAAGGCGTATAAACAACACGGGATCCAAATTACGCCATCAGCTCTAAAACGCTTCCATGACGACGGCCAGTGGGTCGGACGCTTTGACGTCACATTGGTAGAAGGCCTACAGTCTACCAAGCCGACTTTGAGGGCCTAGTTTGCTCTAACCAATTGAGCCGCTTTTGAGGGCAGTAGTAGGATCAACGGATTGATTAGACTGGTAGCAATGCACGACGTCCTCTCCCACCACTGCAGCCATCTTAAAGCGGACAAGACGACCTCTCCCACCACTGCAGCCATCTTGAGGAGGACAGGACGTCCGCTCCCACCACTGCAGCCATTTTGGAGGCGGGCACGACGACCTCTCCTGCCACTGCAGCCATCTTGGAAGCGGACATGAGGAACGTCCCGTTGTTTTTAAATAAGAGGGCTTCCTAAATGTTGCCGATCCATGGAAAGTATGACAGCTTTAGCTGCGAAGAATGGAGGAAGCCAAGGGACCTGAGGCAACGCACGAATGTCTCTGTCCACCAGACGCAGACCGAGACTGATAAACAGGCTCACGCACACATTACAGCGGCTGTTTTTTTCCTTCTAGACGATGCAAGGCTAGATTTGCGAGGCAGGGGAGAAAAAGGCAAGATTGTCTTTATCTACCAGTCCTGCTTAGTAATGAGGGTAAAACTCACCTTGGAAAGCCAACTTACATGCCAAATTACCGGCTTTGTTCGACAAAACGGCCCTGACGCCGTCGCCGAATCCACCAGCACAACGCACAGTGCACTGCATGGTGCACCAGGAGCAGCAGAGGCATGATCAAATCTTGTTGGTTCGGGGATCGGAATGGCACGGCTGTCGCAGCCGACACCGAGCGGTATATGCAAGTGTTTTTTTAATTTCTTGACGATCTTTGCAGCGCAAGTATGGCGGTAACATGCAGCAGCTGCACCAACAGTGGTTCTAGCGAGATGAAATCACATCTCACACAGACGGCGCGGCGAGAAGCTGACTCCGAGGTCGCTTCGGAGAGGGACTGATATCCAAGGACGCGGGAACAGGGGAGCATTAAGGGCACCTCGCCTCCCTCCTAGCTTGGAGGGCCTGTAGAGGGCCCATTCTGCTATGCTAACGGTCGATTCTGAACTGCTGAGGAATTATGCAAGTCATTTAAAATTTATTCTAACCTGTCGATGGCTCACTGTGGCCTACTTAGGATCCATTCCAAGCAACAGAGGGCAATTTTAAACTTTTAGATGCCCACTCTGACCTGAAGAAGGCCCATTATTGATTGCGGAGGACCCATTCTGCCCTAAAGACGCACGTACTGGCCCTTAGAGGGCCCATTCTGGCCTGTAGAGGACAGATTATGAGCTGTAGAGGTCATAAATGATGCAATTAGTTCAACTATATGCATACCTGTAGTGTTCCTGCCGTTCAGAATAAGAAGCATTGCTTTCGAATCGAGTCGCACTTGTTCGTATCGTGATTCAAGTACAATCCTGCTTGATTCAGAACCGTAGACAGGCCCAATCATGCCTGTTTGATGCAATAATCGCTTGATTAGTATCGCAGTGTGGGAGGTAGGTCCAGATCTATTTTTACGACATTTCGTCTTTTTCATTCTGTTCCATTTCGCTCAAGCATGCTGAATAAGAACTGACTTGCATTCACGCGCAGCTTAATGAAGCAAGACTCCGTATGCAGCGTGCATGTGTCGAAGCAGTGCATGGCTCCAATCTCTGACGATGACGTCACCAAAGCTTGACCGTGCGCCGTTCTGGTCTCTGGTACGGTATGGGCCACGTCGGTTTTTGTGCTTTTCACTTGCAGCCGGGTCTAGCGACTCTTTTCGACTTCCCTGGACAGGCAATCCAGGGCGTCGCACAGGCCCTCGCCCTGTGTGGTTGAAGAAGCCCGTATTTGTTTCAGCTGCTGGGTCAGCTTGTAGAGGTCCAGTCGTTCAGTGACCTCGATAAGGGTCATAACCCGAGGCATGTCCTGCTTGTTTGCCAGAACGGCCATCGGTATGTGCTATAACAGTCAACAGAACGTGTCAGCTCATTGAAGATGGCATTACAAGGTTTAAACAACCTAAATGCTTTCTGGAGTTCTTTGTTGTAGAACGGAGAGAAAAGCCTGATTTCAAGCACATCCGTTGGAACCCCATAGATTCTTCCAAAACATTTTCAGAACTTCATAAAAGTTTCGTCTACTCACCGTCTGTTTTAATTTTAACTGTTTTGCTTTGAAATCTGTTTAAGATTCAAAATCATTTCGCTGCTTGAATGGTGTTCCTACTAGGTACTCGCGAGAGGCACCATGCACTGGACCTCAGATCCCACACCAGCCAGCTGGCGACGACGGTTGCCCCCCCCCAAAAAAAAACAACAACTCCGAGCTAGATCCGCCCCTGTTGCACTGGCTGTGTGCCTTACCCAGCCATAGAGCTAAAGCCCACAGTGCTGACACGCGTTGGAGCGTTATTTTAGCGCTGCGATTTTTTAAAGTGGAACTTTCACGGGAACATTACTAAGCTAAAGCTTTACAAAATAGTGTTAAATGCGAACGTTCCGCAAAAACCAGATAAGACAAGAACAACAGAGCATTTTACAGATTTGGAGCCCATCCGGATTTCTAGATGCAAAATACTGTCACGCGACTGCTGCTGGGAGTACTTGACATGCTTGTGCGGTAAATTCAGAGAGATTGATGGAATCCAATTCGTACACGAAATGGTGATTCTACTACCCACGTCACTCTGCCATTCGATAACCTGTCAAACTCCGATTCATAAAATGGTCATCTGGTGACATATATGATCAATATGCTTGTGATGGCACGCTAAGTACGGCGCGCGAAATATGTGAGGTTTGCTAATCTTTAGTATCAAAGTCCGTTACATCCGTAACCCATTTTCATGTTATAGGCCGGGGCTTTAAATGCTCGCTGCTCTAGGGCTACAACTTAATTGTTCATGCACGTCAATGACACGAAAATATTTTCCTAACTCCCCCATTTATTACATCGTTGAGCCCAAATTCAGTGGCATAAACGCAGAGCCAACACTTCTTTGAGGCTTCCAGGGCTCTAAAGTTGTCCCTGGCTTGCCGACGAAACCGTTTTGAACGATATTTATTCATCACTGCATTGTTTGAGGAAGTAAGCCGGTTTGGTGTACTCACAGAGCACTGGCTTGGTATACAGACTGATGTCTAGAGGTCCAATATGTATTATGGACCAGCAAACGGAGGGCCGTTGGCTGAAACAAAACTGAACATAATTAGGTCTTAGCTGTGAAGTGCATAAACCAATTACAAGACCCATATGTGGAATATACATCTCCCGCGTTTCTGTCTATCTACATGCTTTCTTCATCCATATCTTTATTCATACTTTTTCCGTATCTTCTTTCTTGCTTTCCTCCATACGTCGCTTGCGTTCCCAAAATTCTTCTGCGTGGCGCTTCAACTTGGCTATTATTGTGCTCGCCCTCAAGGTGACCACATCTGGGATAAAAAGCGGCTCTAAAACAGGAATCATCTGGTTGAGTGTGGAAAGCAGCAAAAATACAGCCTGAAACTCCGTGGCATGTGTCCATCAGACATTGCTTTCAACACCGAACGCACTTTTTACGAACAAAAAAAAAGATGCTGAAGCTTTCGATGCTTTCGATCAGAAGTTGTCTTTGCTATCTCAACCTCTTTCAAGTGAGTGTTCCACATTTGTGTGGGGTTTTGAACTGGAGTAGCCATCTTGGAGATCATTCGGCGCAGTTCACAGCTCCACCCTGCCTAGACCTAAGCCCCGCTTCTTTGTGAGCTGCACACCCCCGAAGATGTACAGTTTTTTTGGGGGGGGAGAAACTATTTAAAAATTGTTTGGGCTCATGACGCCATCATAACGCCATTCGAATCCTGCCCTTTAATTGATCATGCGGCGGCGAAAGCCATTATACAAAATTTCGAGCCGTTCACATATGGCGGTCATGAACATGATTTCCAGAACAAACAGCCGTCAGTTGGCTCTCATTCAGTGTACGCTGGCCTTATCAAACAATGACGAATTGAGGAGCATATTTACTAGGCAGATAAATTTTCTTGTCCAGAGCAGCCTTCTCCACTAAAAGATGTCAATAACTATAAGTGAGCTCATTTCATCATATCTGATGCTTGCTTTGATATCTTCAATTTCGAAACATTCTCTTTGACTACGGCAGCCTTGTCAAAATACTTACAATCTTACGCAGGCGGTGTAACCGTGTGCACGCGATGGCACTTCAGGAGGGTGGTCAGCCCGAACCATAACATAGCCATCGACCGAAGGCACCTGTTTTATTAGCATGACGCCCTTACGGCACACTGAAGGCCGTCCGTACCCGATTTGCCTCATTTTTTCCTAATTCGATCCCAGTCGCATGCCTGAGAACTTCAATGCACTCAGTTTTGGAAACTGAGACCCACCTGCAAACGGATTAAGCTGTTGATCCCGGGAAAAAACAGCATAGAAATTTGAAAGCGAACTAGCTGCTAGCTGGTGCCTTACCCGTTGTGGAATCATCGATTTGATTCAAATGTGAGTCAAGCGGTGTGCCGCTTAAAGTGTTTAAGTGAAAGTATTTGAGTCTTTCTCTTAGTCTTACCTATCTTAGTTAGGACTTTTAACGGACATGCACCATGAGAAGACTTGTAATGGCTTCATCATTCGCTATGCAAATCATCGAACCCATCATATTATCACCCGGCATTTTGCGCGTGCCATTTTGGTAAAAAACTGTAACAGAAAGAAAATTATGACTGGCATCACGCACATGCAGCTGCCAAATCCGAGGTAGTTTCAGAAAAATGCGCGGAATTGTGGCGCACCACTGACCCTAATAGGCGCACTACTACACGCCACGGATTGCTGCTGACGTCGGGGAATGTTTTGTGATGATGAGGTATGTGGTGTGGAGATTGTGCTGTTTAGGCTTTATGTAATTTTTCGACGGTGTTTCTTGCAAGTGTATGTGTCGTTTCAGGACGAACCTGTCCTTCATTTAAGATATAACATGTGCACCGTCATGCCCAAATTGTCCCCGAGCTGAAGCAGAACGGGGTCTTATTGCTGTACCGAAGGCTCTGCCTGTTTTTAGACTTAATTCCATCTGAAACGTTCATAGGCTGGATGTGAAAATATATGTCACAAGGAGCAATTTTTCACATTTGGTGGCCTTTGTTACCATGGGCAGGCATCTAATATTCTGAATTGCAAGTCAATTCATACCACCACCAGCAAATTTGCATTATTCTGACTACATGATATGCCGTTTTGAGGTGTGTTAGCCATCATCGCACACAATTTGTTACAGATGCAAGTGGACACCTGCTGATTAAGGTCAAGATGCCAAAATTACGGGATCGAAGAGCGTTGGCAGCATTAAAAGATGAGCAACAGGAAGAGTAAGAAATCTGTGTGTTATGTGCAATGAATGTTGCCCTTCTGAACAAGTCATATTGGGTATTTGCTTAATGAATGCTGTTAATCTGCCAATGACTTAATTTAGCAGAAGGCATCTGGTTCTTGATGGCTTGTACAAAGCTTCAGAAGCCATCACTTGTTTTGGTGCTCTGTTGTTCTTGTACTTAAATCTTACAATGTGTTGCATGTAAAGAGGAGTGCCATACATCTAGCAATGAACTAAATTCTATCACTGCAAAGTGAGCCATATGCTGTTTTGCATCCACACATGCAAACATTTTCCCAAATTCTGGTGGCCCTTGAAGTGTGCAGCCACTTGGCAAAGACCTGGTACTGCTTTGAACTTGTCTTGCTTCTTGCCTGTTGTGCTTGTTTGAGGAGGCTCCTTCCTTCAGCTACTTGTTGACCTGCATTCTTGAACTTCCATGCTCAAATTTTGTCAGCAGTCAACTCAGTACTTTCGGCCATGAAGCTGCATGTTTACACTACTTTTTTAGTCTACAGCACAAAAGACTGAAAGGTGTCCAATATAGTCTCAGATAATGTGCAATGTGTGGTTGCTTTTTAGGTTGAAGCCTCTACTCTACACACCATATGCTAAGTGCTCTTGCATCCTGCACCTTTGTTTAATCATCCCAAGGGTGACATGTTCTGATATGGTATCTGCAACCAACTGATTCACCCTGACCATGATCACTCAAAAACAGTTAGGCGTGGTCAAAGTTGTTCCGGAGGGTGACCTCTTTGACCTGACATAGGTCACTGATCTTGTTACATCAAGACTGAAATTCACAGAGGCTGCAAAATTAATAAATGAACATGCAGCTACAATTTTGGGTTGCTGCAAGTGTTTGCTTTTTACCTGTGCTTGAAGAACTGAGGGAGGGAAGTCAACTTCTCCCTGCTCAACCATCTGGGGGTTAAACTGCATTGATACCTAGGTGTGGACAGTCAGGTGGGGAGGGGCTCCCACAAGCAGGACCCTGAAGCCCGTCCATGGCCAATCATAGATTTTGCCCCGGAGAAACAGAGGGAGTTGCTGGAGTGAAAGAAGTGGTGAGTGAGGAGAAAAGGTTCAGGACAGAAAAAATTCAGGGCAGGTGTTGGTCATGATCAAGTGGAGCAGAGTTGTTTAGCAGTATCATGTGTTCAGCATTGCTGCTGCTGTGTTACCAGTACACAATGAATTAACACTGATTGTATAATGAAACTGGTAGGCCCAGCTATAAATTTAAAATTTGAAATGCTAGTGAAATGCACAGAACACATGATGCACAGCGCACTTTAAGTACATTTCGCCGAGTCACGGCTGTCACTATGCCGAAGTTCGCCGGACAGTTTCCGCAAACGTGCCACTGCGCGCGGCCAGCGTCTGTTGATATGTAGCTATTTCTGTCAACATCTGCCCTTCTGGCAAAGGTGGCACTGAGCATGGAGACACACCAATTGTGTGTCAGACTGACTTCTGAATTTGTCTGAGAAGACGAATATGACAACATCCAGTCTGGGTTTTGGAGAGCAAGTTCTTAACATTTCAAAACATTGAAGAAAGAGCGATGTCAAGATGAATGAAATAGACGTGCAGGTGTGATAACTGTGCTGTGCAAAAGTTTCCTCTGGCATGCATGTCTTACAAAAAGTGACACAGAACATTATGCTCGGGTTGAAAACGTTACAATTGCCGTCACAGTTCGAAATGCTTGTCGTATGGTGTGATTGAGATTGCTGTCAACCTTAAGCTGGCCGGTCTGACAACCGCTGGAAACACGTTTTAGCAACAAAGTTGTTACCTAGTTGATGGAAATACTGTGCTATATGAAATTGGATGGCCCTTAGGCTCATTGGCCCACTGAGCTGGTATAGTTACCAATCACTTTCTCGTGTTCCACAGGGACAATGATTTTAAGGACAGCCGGTGGACAAAGCAGGAGAGGACTGCACTGCTGCGCGCT